TGACGATTAAAGGGGGTCATGTAAAGGTCTCGGGACGTGGCCTGACACAGGGCCGCGGCCGCGCGTGTTATTAAGTGCCGTGAATCGCGATGACGGGCCGCTCGGGTGGTGCATCGCTGAGGGCCCCCCGCAGCCCGGCCCGCTCCCTGCGGCCGCCAAGAAGAATCGTGCCCCTCTTTTCCGAGGAAGCCCTCTCATCTCCTTCTTTGTTTAAAGATAATTACACGGCTGCCTGTTTCTTCTTCCAAGCCGAAGAGACGCGCTCTCCGTGCCCCGCCCCGAGCCACACTCGTGGGGCTTCCTGAACAGCCGCGCTGAAGTGGCTTCTCCCCTTTCCGCGGTCTATGACACTTGGGGGCGGCCCCGCCCTGGGCGCGGGAGTGGCCCCCCAGAAGTGCGGGCTTTGTGCACTTACAATAATGCGCTGCACTTCCCGGCAAAGGGGGTTAAGTGGTGTCCTGGCCTGGGCTGGGCTTAAAAGCAAAGGAAAACCCTGGACAGCCAGCGAGGAGAGGTTCCCGCATCTCCCCGCACGGACTGCCGTCGCCCTCCAGCCTGGCTCCTGGGCAGGGCGCCGAGCGCCGGAGCCAGCAGGACACCTGGGCCCCCGGGCGCAGGCCGGAGGTGAGCGCACACGCAGCCCCGCGAGTGCCATGGCTCAAACCCGCACCGGCGAGGGGTCGTCCCTCACGCTGCGGGGCTCTGTCTGTCTCGTGCAGGGAGGCGAGGGTCAGAACCAGCCGCCCGCGCCCGTCCTGGGCGAGACCGGTCAGGGGGTCTCAGGGCGCCGAATCCTCAGGTGGCCGAGATTGTAAAATGCTGGGGTGGGGTTGGGGCTCATGGGGGCTGGGGGAGGAGCTGGGGGCAACATGAACAAAATGGAGTTCTCTGTCTGGAAACTCGAGGCTGGAGAACGTTAGACAGAGGAGGTTCGGAGGAAAGCCCTTGCGTGTCCTGGTGTTTGGTGTCGGGAGAGCTGAGGGACAGAAAACCACTAAGAGCTGCTGCTTGATTTTGGCGGGAAGAGTCTAGGCTTTGGAATACGAGAGTTGTGGGTTTGAATCCCAGCTACACCACACTTAAAAACTACGGTTTCCAACTGGCTGCACGGAATACCGCTGAGCCTACAAACCCTACGGGACTTCTAGAAGGACGAGGCATGATGTGTGTCACGTGATTAGCAGTGTGTAGACTCAGGGTTGCGCTTTGCCCGCCTTGCCCCGGGCCGTCTCAGGACGGTCTGAGGGTGGGGTAGCCCGAGCCTTGGAGGGGTGCATAGGCTTTGAAACGGAATGCAGCTCTCTGGCAGCTCTTTTTAAAAAAAGTTGACAGATCACATTCTATTTGTTTCAGGTGAATGCCATAGTAATTCAATATTTGCATATATTTCAAACCGACTGCCACAGCAAGAGTCTGGTTAGCATCTGCCACCACGCGTAGCTCAGTGTGTCCTGTGACGAGAGCCCCGCAGGCCTGTGCTCAGCAGCCGCCGTGTACGCAGTGTGGCCTCGCGGCCGCTGGCCACTGGCTGCTGGCTCCCCGTGCCACCCCGGGCAGGGCGCGCAGCCCACTGCCGCGTCCAAAAAGAAAGACGCTATTAGTTCACGGGGCTGAAATTGTCAATATGGGCCTGTTTTCCACGTAGAAATGGCAATTTCATGAGCGTCGACCCGAAACTTTGCCTCCTTTGTCTCAAAGGTGACAAAGCGCAAGTGAGATGATCTGTGTCAAAGTGCTTTATAAATAATTGAAGGCTGCGACGGTGGTTATTCCGGGCCCCACACTACACGGGGGGCAGCGGGCCGCTGGCGCGCCCCCCACCCCCGCCCCGCAGCCGTCAGCGCGGGTGAGAGAGGAGAGCGTGGGAGGCAGCGGGCGAACCCAGGGCCCCCAGGGAAATGCTGCCGTGGTTCGTTCTGGTTTGGTTGTGTTCGGTTTGGGTTGGGTTTGGTTTTGGTTTGGTTTGGTTTTGAGGGGCAGAGGATGGAACGCAGCGTCCAGGACAGAGTCCCGAGTGGGAACTTCTGAGTCCTGAGGGACAGCCGCGGTGCGGGGGCGAGGGGACAGGCCTCAGAGGGCCGCAGCCACGCTCCGCGCTCTCACTTTGGCCTCGTGAGACAGGGTGGGGGCGCAGGGGCCATTGACGCGCTGCACCCTCCAGCGTCGCCTGGCACGGGCAGCGCCCCCTCCCCGGCTTTCTCCCTCTTGTCCGCCCCTCGGGCACAGCTGGCAGCGATCGATCGCTTGGGTTTCCCCCGGTCATTCTGCTCGTCACAGTAGCCACCACTAGGTGTCCCCCTTTACAGACGGTCACTGCGTTCCGCAGGTGCCCTCACGGTGCATTTGAGGGGCTTTTTGTCCGGTGGGCAGGCGGCGGCGTGCGAGAGACCCCGGGGTCCCGTCCCACACCGTGTTGGAAGGCGGTCCCGCCTGGAGAAACTGCATGTTTCCAGGGCGTGACCGCGCGCAGCTGCGTGTTGCAAGCCAGGGCCAGGGGCTCAGGGAGTGCGGACGGCGGCTTGGTGGCTGTTCTTGAGGGCACGGCGTAGTCTTTGTGGCTTTCCTGTGGCTCAGGGCCGGCTGCCCCAGAGTCACTTGGCTGTGGGGCTGCGGAACCCCCTCGTGCGCGACGTTGGGACGCGGATGCGCATCCACAGAGGGCCGGCAGAAGGCTCGCCTCCCTTGTTTGGGGCCCCTCCGTCGGCTACCGCGGCGGCCGGAGAAGGCGGGGCCATCACCGCCCCCTCCAGGGGGCTCTGGAGGGGTGCCTCCCCGGGGACCTCTGCCTTCTGTTCCCATGCTCTCCCTCCCCCGAGGACACAGGCAGTCAGAGGGCCCACACTAAGTGAGAGCAACAGTGCCCAGGTGTCCCAGGTGCGCCTGGCCCGAGCTGGGAGCGAGCTGCCCTCCAATTCTCCCGCGAGAGCGGGTTCCCCGGGGCCCAGGGTTGTGCTGGGCAACCCTCAGACTCGGTCCCGGGCTCGCATTGCCGCCGGCAGGCACAGTGCGGGCCGCGTGGTGCGGGGGGTCGGGCGGAGAGCGGTCCCGGCTCGGGGTCACCCTGGGCCGCTGGCCAGCTCGCCTCGGTCCCTGTGCCCTGGGCGCCTGGGCTCGTCCCCTCCCTCCGGGCTTGTCTCCGCAGGCAGGCGGATTGGTCAGAGCCTCTCCAGCCTCTTTCTGCTCAGGCCCCCGAGGGCCAGGACCCAGCCCTCGCCCTGGAGCCTGCGCCCCCCGCCCTCCAGCCCCTGCTCTTTGTCAAAAACCACTGATCTGGAAGGAGAGCAGGGACAGGCTCCTGTTCATTCCTGGCACCTCACGCGTGGCCGGCCCGTGCCGGGCGCACACAGAAGGCCAAGGCCGAGGCGCCCCTGTGAGACGCCGGGCTGCCGGGCAGGGCCGCCCCGGGCCGGCCCTCAGCCAGCCGCCCTCCCACCCTGCCTCTCGGTGAAATCGAGTCCCGTGGGCGTTTTAACTTCACACGTCATCTGCGAGTAATCTCACTGTAAAGGAGCCAAGCACTAATTACCACCAATTAAAAATGCTTTACGTAATAGTTTTTTACTCAACATTTGATATTGGTAAAATTTAGGAAGGCTCTCCCCGCCTCAGAAACCCCCTTCAACTTCAGGGCCGAGCTGGGCTCCAGCAGCCGCAGCCAGACCGGCTGCGACCACCCCCGCCGCGCCCCCGCCCCCGCCCCCGCCCGGCGAGGCTGGCGGGCCTGCCGAGGCTTGCCTCCTGGCTGGGAGACAGAGGATTAGACAACGTTCTGAACAATGAGGACTTAAAAATGCTGTTCTTGAAACAATGTGTTTTTAAATATGCTTCTATTCTTCATCAGAAATGAAACACTTCTGCCTTCGGTTTCGACCTCACTGGAATCGCACGGGCTTGCTCTGGAGAGAGCAGCTGCTGCGGCGGCGGCCGCATGTAACCGGCCCCTCGCTGCTCCTGCTTTTGTTATCAGGGAGCCGGGCCCTCGTGACTCGCAGCGCGGCAGGCATTCCCACCAAGTTAGGGGTTTTGACGGGTCTGCCTGTGAGACAAGGCGCCTCGTGGTTTTCCCCAGAAGCTGCCGCGCTGGTTCTCCGGGGATCGACTTGGTGGGGCGCTACCCCCCTCGTGCCACGGCCAGCCTGCGGGGAAAGGTGCGCCCTTTGCTGCTCCCTGAGACACGCAGTTGCCCGGCACTCCCGTGCCTCGGCTGCCCCGCAGGCTCCTCAGGGTAAGAGGAGAGGCAGCCGTCTGCTGTCCTAATTAGCCTCACAAACAACATGGGATGTCTTCCACGCACCAGGCGCTGCCTTAAGTTCCGAGGCTTCCAGGAGGACCACGAGAGGCCCAGGCTGCCGCCGCTCAGCAGGCGCCTCTGCAGAGAAGACAGCAGGTACGCCGCTCGCTAGGTGCCGTTCTGCGGGCCATGCCTGCAGCACAGATGGCGGGGGTGGGGAGACACAGGGGCACAGGGCGGGGGCCGGCCAGCTCCGTGTGGGAGCTCAGGGAGCGTGGTCGGGGGGTCAGCTGTGGGATGACTCTGGCAGAGAGGGGGGTGACTCCCCGGGATGCGGGGAAGGACATTCCAGGCAGGAGGAGCCACGAGCACAGAGGTGGAGATGTGAAATTCCACCGCGCCTTTGGGAAGCGGGGAGTGGGCCGGGAGCTGCGTGCGCGGACGAGGGCGGACGCGGGCGGACGAGGCAGCAGCCCGAGGGTGGGCTCCGAGCCCGGAACCCGCCGTACTTTCCCTCTGGAGCACACGCCTGGCGACCAGCGCACCTTCCATGTCGCGGAGCGGGCCGAGGTGCGGTCAGAATGGCATGGGCCCTGGGGCTGAGGGGGTACATGTGAAGGGCCTACCTGACGCCAGCCACACATAGAAGATAAAACGAGGTTAGAAAAGGGAGGGCCCCTCCTCAGAGCCCTCAGAATCGCGTGTCCCCCGACACAGCATTGCTGGAAACAGAGAGGAACGCGCTCGCTGTTGACTCCCGGGCCCGCTCCCTGCCTGGCCTGCCCGCACCAATGGGGACCGCGCTGGCCTGCGCGTGGTGGCTGCTGCCTCTGCTCTGCGGACTCGCCCGGGCAGGTAGGTGGCTGTGCTGGCGAGCGGGCGACGCGAACCTGGCTGCCTCCTTCGGGCGAGGGCTGTTAACTCGAGAGCACGGGGCGCCTGGACCGCGGGTGCAGGCCATGGGCAGTGGGGGACCCGCACCTCCCGGATTTGTGTGTGTGTGTGTGGGGGGGGGTGGTGCCAGGTGAGGCGTGTTCGTGCACGTGCAGATTCAGCAGGATGGCCCCACACAGCGCCCCCCACAAAGGCGCGCCGCTTTAGAGTGAGGTAAGTACTTGTTCCAACAGGGTTTGTGATAAGTGTGTGGTGATGTCGTACAGAACGCACAGAGAAGCAAAACTGTATAAACTCCCTGCTATTTGCATTCAGTTCTAAGAACATAAAGAAGATAACGAAAAAACGTGTTTCTACCCTGGTCCAACTCAAGACGACAGCTCTGGCGTCCGCGTCTTGCAGATCGATGATTCCTTCCTTCACAGCTGATGCTAAAAGAGTTTCTATAAGAGCCAGGGGAGGGGCGGTGGGTGGGCACCAGGAAGGCAGAGAGGGCCGCCAGCGCCCGCCGGCGGCTTCAGCTGCGGACCGCGCCGCTCCCCTCGCCGCGGGGGCCCCTGGTCCGAGGCCAGGTGCCTGCAGGGCGGTGCCCTCTGGCATCTCTCTCCTGCACTTGCCGATGGCGGCTTCTTCATGGGCTGGTCCCTGAGCACGTCCCAATCTCCTGTCCTTAGAAGGACGCCAGTCAGGTGGCTGGGCCACCCGATGGCCTCATTGTCACTAACGCCGATCTCCACAAAGAGCCGCCTTCTGCCCTGCGGGCTGAGGGCTTTATCGCTTGCCAGTCCCTGGGGTGTAGAAGCCAGGGGTCCTCGGGGGGCATCCGTGACGCCAAGTGGCGAGAACGCTTTCCAGACTTCCCCCCCGGCCAGCCCCTCCCCAGCCCGGGGCTCCGCCTGGGGCCCCTGCAGCCTCTGCTCCCCGAGCCCCGTGGGCCAGGGCAAGCGAGGACTTGGCCTGGGGCTAGAGGCAGCGCTGAGTGCAACCTGAGGCTTCTGGACGCTAGCTGGGCTTGTGAGGCCCCCAGGCTGTGCCCGGAGAAGCAGGCCACCAGCCCAGGGGACCGTGGCTCATCCCTCCAGCCGCGCGTTTGTCTGGGAACACGGACGGCTGAGCTCCTTGCCACACCTTACGTCTCCCCGCCACCCCCGCCGCCCGCACCCACCCCCAGGACTGGACTCGCTGGACGCAGGGGCCTTTCCCTGTGTCTCCCCCAGTGGGGGCCCCCTTCCTGGGAGCACCGAGCTTCGCTTTGATGGCAAAGGCAGCGTAGAGAGTTGCCTCCTTCTCCGAAACAGCTGCTTCTCAGGACCATGTTCTCGCCGAGGGCGCAGAGAGAAGCGGGGAGCGGCGCGCTGCCCTTGGCTGGGAATCGGCCTTTAGCGCCTGACTGCGGGCACGTGCGCACATGAGGGATGGACCCTGGGGCCACTGGGTGAGGCCCACAGGCCGCCGCTGCGATGACAGCGGCGGCCACACAGACAGGCTGCCCAGGGTCGCAGCGGGGCCCAGACCGCGAGAAACGGCCCCATCCAGGCGTGTAAAGAAACAAGTTCGTGGCCTAGTACTGTATGTGCTTCTTCATTAACTCAATAAAGAAGAAGATCTGAGAACTGCATCGACTTAGTGGTCGGGACAAGAGCGTTGGGTAGCGCAGGTGTCCGCGATAGCCGCCACGTGATTCGAGAAGAACCGACCTACGCGGCGGCCGGGTCGCGAGGCACGGCCTCCCTGTAAGTTGTGGACCACGTTCGGGAGGGAGGGACACTGCCCGTTCCAGCAGCCGGTCAGTGGAGAATGAAGACGGAAACGCCCTCTCGCTCAGGCTCACACCCCCGGGTTCCTGCCCTGGCCCTCGGCAGGGTCCAGACCCCTGTTCGGACCGCGGCTTCTGCTCTCCTGGGGAGGGGGGCACGCTCCCGGGGGGCCTGCAGGGAGCGAGGAGAGCTCGGCTGCAGACACTCAGAGACGTCCCCTGGCAGGCGGTCTCAGGGGAAAGCAGAGCTGCGTGGGGTCGAGGGGCGGAGCCGTTCGGCACCCTCACCCCGCTCTCCCCGCCTCGCCTGCGGCCTGGTCGCCCGGAGTGACCCCGTCACTCGCTGCTTTGCTTTGCCTGGTGTTGAAATATAATTTTTGATCCTTGAATGTTGCATTGGGGCGAGACTGTAAAAGTATTTTTTAAAAAGCAGAAATCCAGCTCTTCAAAAGGAATAATTGAAGCGCTGGAGTTAGAGTCTTTCCATGGTCCTGATTAGGAGGAACTGTTGTACTGAGCAACTAACCAACACATCCAGGGTCGGATCAGCCCGTTTTTGTCAAACTGCCAGACGCTCGCAACGCTGGCCAGGCGCTGAAGTCACTGTGTGTGCGTGCCTGTTTGTTCGTTCGTTTGTTTAGCTCTGCCAGCCAAGCCCGAGAACGTTTCTTGCATCTTCTACTACACGAAGAATTTTACTTGCACCTGGAGTCCAGAGAGAGAAGCCAGTTACACGAAGTACCAAGTGAAGAGAACTCAGTAAGTGCAGGGCCGCCTGCTGGCGGTGGGGGAGGGGCTGTGCTTCCAGTCACAGCTCCCGGCGGGCGGCCAGTGTGGCTTCCAGGGCTGGACGGCCTCCCGGGGGCTGCCAGCCCTGTTGACAGACAGGCTCAGAAGTGCCGGGGGTTGGGGGCCGGGGGGGCGGGAAGGGGAGGGAGGGGGCAGCAGGGGTGGCTGCTGGCCGGGCGGAGGGCAGCCCCGGCCGTACACACAGTGGACAACTCTGTTTATTTACTATATTCCACGACGTTCCTCCTCTTTCCAGAACGTGTTCTAAAGCTGTTCGTTCTCTGTGGATCCAGGGACAGTGTGGAGGGTCCCTGGTCTGCCCCCAGTTCAGGGTGTGGCCCTTGACATCAGGAATCCACCAGGACAATGGGCTCCAAGTTTGTCCTTCCTCAAGCTTCCCTTTTTATTTAAATTCTATTGGTAGGGAAAAAAAGTTGTAATTTTTAAAATCATAAGTCTGGCCAAAAGCTAGGTGTTTCAGTGAGTGTGAAGAGGGTATTTTTTGAAACTTTGAGAACGGCACACGAGACCAACGGCACCGCTCGCGGCCCAGAGGTCCGTGCGGGAGCTGTGGGCAGACGTTCTATCCATAGTTTCTGTCTCAGAAAGAGCGTCTGTACCGCCGAGTTTTTGCATTGTTTTGTTTTTAAAACACGATCTCATTGTTTGCCCCTTGGCATTGGCGACTGGCGTGGCGGGGAGCACAGCCGGTGCTCCGGCGCTGACCCACGGGCGTGCGTGCCGGCGGTCGGTTCGGAGCGGCGGTCGCCCGGGTTTTCCTGCCGGGCCGGAGGGCAAACCCTTCAGGCTTCGAGGGCGAGGGGCCTTCCAACGGGCACCGCCTGCGGCCGCCGTAGCAGGAGCACGGGGACACGGTGTACACTGTTTCCCAACAAAACCCCCTTCGTAGACGCTGAAATTTGAGTTTCACGTACATTTTCAGATGCCACAGAACAGTCTCCTTTTTATTTTTTATCTTTCTTAACCATTTGACAACGTAAACCTGTCCTTAGCCTGTGGGCCCCACGGGAACAGGTTGCCGACCCTGCTGTTGAAAAGAAGGACGACACAGACCGCGTGACCCCTGGGTCACGTGACCTGCCCTGGCCCGCACCTGCGAGCTGCGGCCCAGCGGGGTGTCAGCACAGCGCCCCTCTGGAGGCCTCACGAAGTTCACCCCCGTTTTTCTGTTTTAGTCTTTCCCGCCCTCTCCTTCCACGGCCCCTGTGGGCAGCCCTTACTGTCGCCGGCTGCTGTGTGGGTCAGGAGTCCCGGGGCGACCTTGGGCCTGGGCCCAGCCCCAGCTTCTGTTCTAGTGAGGTGACCACCAAGAACCCCTCTCCCAGGTGGAAGGGACGGATTTCCTTGCAGAGGGTCAGCTCTAAGAGCGGATGACGGGGCAGTGGCGGGAACAGAAGCAGCAGGAACTGATCTTTCCTTGGGGGAGGCGGGCAGTCGGGAGGCCTTCCTGGAGGAGGTGGCTCCGCATTGAGACCGAGGCTCAGCATAGACACAGAGGAGAGGGGAGGGAGGGCGCTTCTCTGGGGTCGCAGCAGCGGCCGCGGACACACAAATAGGCATCTGTGTTGGGGCACAGGCAGCGATGACACGTAGCACGTCTCACACGGGGGCCTGGTGCCTGGCCGGCCGCCCGCCCCATCCTCGCAGCAGTCCCCGCTGCTGGTGCGTCGCTGCCCTCGCCAGAGAGGCGAGGGATCCGGGCGCAGACCCTGTAAGGAGCCTGCGAGGCCCGGGGTCGCAGGGGCGGAGCCAGGACTCCGGCCCCTCCCAGGGCCTGGGCCGCGCCCCGCCCATCAGGGTCCTGGCGGCGTGTTCGTGCTGCCCAGACGCGCGGGCAGCCCGTGGGGGCTCTCCCGCTGCAGACGCCCGCTCTGCGCGCCCGTCTGTGCTCCGCTCCCGGCCCCGCCCGGCAAAGGTGGCGCCGGGCCGTGCCCCCTCCTCTGTCCTCAGCCACCTCCCTGTCCTGCACGGCCCCCGGCCACGCGGCAGCAGCTGTGCCCAGTGCGCCCCGCCAGCGCGTGCGCCGGTGTTCGTCGCGTTACAACTTGATAGGATTTAAATGGCCTGTCTGGTAATTTATTAGATTACGTATCAATTTGATAAATTACCTGTCACGAATTTCCGTGAGTTTTCTGAAAACAATTTATACCAATGATGTAAAATAGCACAAATAGCACCCAAAGGTGACAACTTGAACGTTGTGATGGAGACCTTTCGGGACACCTCCCGGAGCAGGTCACACAGATGAGATTGTTCTGGGCGTAACGTGTGTCCTGGTCCTCTTCACCAATGGCAGGCAGAGTGTGGGCGCCTTCCCAAGTCCATGAACATAGATGGTTAAGAACTATCATTTTTAATTCTCTTTATGTACCTACCATAATTTATTGAACAAGTCCTTTTTGATTTTTTTTCCTTTTAGAAGTAAGGTTTCAAGGCTAGAACCTGGGGCCTATTCATGATTTGTTACCAATAGGAAATGCACGACAGCGTTGCTTTTGATGGACTTGCAGGGTCCCCAGGGGGTCCCCACGGTTTATGGTGTCTCAGGCAGGCAGGGCGCAGTGGACTTCGGTCTCTCTGGGGAGGGGGCGGATTTCAGAGGGGCGGGTGCCGAATTTTGGTCTATCCAGTTCTCAGGAGCAGCCGAGGCTGAAGTGAACACATACGTGCTCACACATCAAGTGTGGCTTTGTTTTCAAACTGCTGAACTGAACCCGTGTTGAATCATTTTTTCCTTCAAAGCACCAATGGAAATGATCATGATACTTGTAATTCCACAAGTGAGGATCGAGCCTCATGCTCTTTCTATCATCGAATAACATACCCAGATCAATACACCATTCAAGTGCAAGCTCAAAACGCGGATGGGACAGTTGAGTCCGATGCCACCACTTGGGACTTGGACACCATAGGTAAGTGCTATTGGAAGAATATATACTTTTCTCTTAAGAGATGCTCCCTGCCCGCTTTTAAAAGAGATATCTGTGGACTCAAAAGGAGACTCAAAGACCAAAGATAGAGTGGGTGCCTATTATGCATGTACAAAAAATTTGTCTTCTTATTGAAGAAGGAAAGCAGAGAGAGAGGGAAAAGGAAGGAAGGGAGGGAGGGAGGGATTGGCCAAATTAAAAGTAAAGAATGAGAAGAGATACTGTTCTGGTCCCTGATTTCTCCCTGCAGTTTGTACCGTGAACTGTACTCAAAGAAGCAGATTTTCCCCCAGAACGTCATTGCTCGTGCGGGAAAAGAAAGTAAAACTCTTACTTAAAAAAAGTCTCACTAATTCTTATCATTAATTCTTTTTCAGAAAGTCACTTTCATCATATAATTTTTAAATAACAGCTTTATTGAGATGTAATTCACATGCCAAAGGCTCATGTTTTACAAACGACAGTTGGGCTTTCTGTCCTCTTCACGGTGTGGTGCAAACCTCTAATTCCAGAACACTTGCACTACCGCCGCAGGAATGTTGTGCCCAATTCCCGACTTCCCCGTTCCCCCACCCTCTGGCAGCCACTAATCCGTTTTCTGTCTTCGGGGATTTGCCTGCTTTTGACATTTTATGGAAATGGAAAGATACGCAGGGGCCATAGTATCTGGTCTCTTCCGCTCCGCATCCTGTTTGCCAGGCCCTTCCATTTTGTAGCACTTACCGGTGCTCCGTTCCTCTTTGTAGCTGAATGACATTTCCCTGGAGGGACAGACCACATTTTATGCATCCGTACATCAGTCGATGGAATTTGAGTTGTTTTTACTTTTGGTTCTTCTAAATACTGCCGTTACGACTATCTGTGTGCCGGTTCTTGTGTGGACATGTTTCAATTCTCTTAGACATACAGCTGGGGAAATCGCGGGGTCGCGTGGTAACTTCATCTTCGATGGTTTGAAGAACTGTCAACCTTTGCCCAAGGCGCTGCGCTGCGCTGTTTTCCATTCCTGCCAGCGATTTGCAAATGTTCCGAGGCCGGCCCACCCTCCCAGCGCCGGTTAGGGTCCCCTGGCCGCTCACAGTCCCCTGGCTTGGAAGTGGCATCTCACTGCGGCTCTCAGGGCATTTCCCTCATTCTATCGAGTGATGTAGAGCATCTTTTCATGTGCTAATCAGCCATTTGTTATCTTTTTTGGACAAATGTGTACCCAAACCCTTTGCCCACTTTTACATTGTGTCATCTGTTTACTGTGGAGGGTTCAGAGTTCTTTATCTAGTCTGGGCACAAGTTTCTTACCAGACACATAAGTTACAAATTTTTCCTCCCTTTCTGCCCGTTGTCCTTTTAATTTCTTGATGGTGTGCTTTGGAACAGAAAAAAAAATGTAATTTTGATGAAGTCCAGTGTATTTACTCTTTTACGGTTTGTGCTTTGTCAGATCTTAAAAAAAAAAAAAAAAAGAAGAAGAAGAAATCGCCTAACTAGAGGTCACAAAGATTTACTGCTGTCTTTTCTTCTAAGCGTTTTATAGCTTTGGCTCTTGCGTTTAGATCTGTGACCCATTTTGAGCACATTCCGGTGGGTGGTGTGCGGCAGGAGGCGGACACGTTGTTCTGCACACGAACAGCTGGTTGTCTCAGTACCTCCGCTCCTTGCAAAGGTGATTCTTTCCCCTCATTGAATGGTCCCGGCCCCCTCGTCAAAATCAATTCACTGTAAATGCAAGGCCTTTCCATGGGCTGACAGTTCTATTCCATTGACACATATTTCTGTCTTTATGCCAGTAGCACACTATCCTATTACTGTAGCTTTACAATAAGTTTTGAAATTGGGAGACTGAGTCCTCCAATCTCATCATTTTTCAAGATGTTTTTGGCTGTTGAGTTCCTTGAATTTCCATGTGAATTTTAGGACCAGCTTGTCAATTACTGCCGAGAAGCCTGCTGGGATTTTGGTAAGACGATTGCTCTCAATAAATAATAGAAAATCTTCCAAGCCACAAACATGGACTATCTATCCACTTATTTAAGCCCTTCTCTAATTTCTCACATTAATGTTTTGTAGTTTTCAGTGTACCAGTCTTGCACTTCTTTGGTTAAATTTATTCTCAAGCATCCTATTATTTTTGATGCTATTGTAAATGGAATTGATTTCTTAATTTCACTTTCAGGTTGTTCATTATTAGAGTAAACAAACACAATGAATTTTTGTATATTGATCTTGTAACCTGCTGCCTTGTTGGACTTGTATATTGGCTCAGTGTGTGTGTGTGTGTGTGTGTGTGTGTGTGTGTGTGTGTGTGTCTATTCCTTAGGATTTTTGTCTATATGAGACAGTGTCATTTACAAATACCGTTTTACTTTTCCTGGGCGCCTGGGTGCCTTGTTTATCTTTCTTTTGCCCGGCTGCCCTGTTCGGAGCCTCCAGCATCACAGAAGCTGAACAGAAGCAGCAGGAGCCGGCCCCTCGCCGCCCTCCTCAGAGGGGTCGCCGCTGAGTGTGACCTTAGCTGGGGGCTTTTGTAGATGCCCTTGACAGGGTGGAGGAGGTCCCCTCAGCAGTGTGCTGAGTGAGAGGGCTGTGTGGTGTTGCCCTTTGTTCTTTTAAAATGGTGTTGCATTGAATGATTTTCCCAAGTTAAACAAACCTTGTATCCGTGGGATGTCTTTCAGCTGGTTGTGGTGTATAATCCGTTGTATGTGTTGGTGAATTTGGGCTGCTAGTGTTTTGTGGAGGGCTTTTTATTTTATACTCATAAGGAGTATTAGTCATAAGGAATATAGTTGTTTTCTTGTGATATGTTCGTTTTTGGAACCAGGGTAATACTGGCCTCATAAAATGAGTTGGAAATGTTCCCTTGTCTTCCATTCCTTGGAAGAGTTTCTGAAGAACTAACGTTAACGCTCCTTTAAGCCTTTGGTGGACTCATGCGTGAGATGTCCAGGCTTGAGGTTTTCTTTTTGTGAAGCATTTTGACTTGGGTTTCTTTTTGAAAACTCTTTTTTCAGAACTGCCTTTGGAAGGCTGACCTCACACTGTACACACTACCTCATGAGGATGAACCTGGAAGGGAAACGATTATTCACCTTTAAATAAGTTTTTAATATTATTATCTGTACTTTGTTAAAATGAACATGTATCACTTTAGCAATTAAAAATATTAAAAAATAAATTCAGTCAGGAGGTAAGAAAAATCCCCAAAACTTTAGTAGATAAATAAATATTCTGTAACTGCCTCTGATTACAATTTAGAGTGAGGAGAAATTTTGGTCTAAATTAGTAACACAGATTTATAAAATTAATCTTTGAAGAAATTTAATTTTTATGCTCTATCTCTGGTAAAGGACTGGTAAAGTATTTCTAAATACTAATATCTACCTAAAAAAGAAATGTAAAAAACAAAAGTAAGGAACCAAATAACATCAAAAAGAAAAAATTTAACCAAGGAGCAGAAAGATCTGTACACTGGAAACTACAAGACACTGATGAAAGAAATTGAAGAAGACACAAATAAATAGAAATATATCCTGTGTTCATGGATTAAAATAATTAGCGTTGTTAAAAGTAATATTTTAATACAGATTAAATGCAATCCCTATCAAAATACCGATGACATTTTCCACAGAAATAGAAAAAAAGCCCAAAAATTTATATGGAAACACAAAAGACCCTGAACAGCCAAAACAATTTTGAGCAAGAACAAATCTGGAGACATCATACTACTTGATTTCAAAATACACTAAAAAACTGTAGCAATCAGAACAGTATGGTATTGGCATAAAACCAGGCAAATGAAACAGAGTAGTGAGCCCAGGACTAAACTGATGCATATATGATCACCTGATCTTCAACAAGGGCACCAAAAATGCAAAACAGGAAAGGACAGTCTCTTCAATAAATAGTGTCAGGAAAGCTGGACAGCCACGTGCCAAGGAATGGCACTGGACCCTGTCTTTCCCCATACAGAAAATCAACTCAGTATAAACGAAAGGCACAGGCATAAGATCTGAAACCATAAAATTCCTAGGAGACAATGTAGGGAAAAAGCTCCTTGACTTGAATGTCAGCCACGGTTTCTGGAAGAAGACCAAACGCACAGGCAACAAGAGCAAAAGATGGATAAGCAGGACTACATCAAATTTTAAGACTTCTGTACAGCGAAGGAAATAATCAACAAAGGACGAGCCAACCTTCGAATGAGAGAAAATGTTTGCAAACCATAGATCTGATAAGGAGTTTATATCCAAAATATATAAGGAACTCTTAGAATGTACTAGCAAAAAAACAAATGACAGCAATAAAAAATAGGCCAAGGACCTGAATAGAACTTCTCCAAAGAAGACATACAAATGGCCAACAGGTATGAGGGGGGACCCCCAAAAAAACCTGCAATTACCTTCCAGAGGACAAGCCCCTTGTGCTACAGACTTCTCCCACTGGGTGAGTGTTCCAGGAGCCCGCCTGTGTCAGGGCACCAGCGGGCGTTGTTGTGAGAGGCTGTGTTCTGCTTTAGGGAATTTTTTTGAAGACTTTCGCTGCGCTTGCCCATTTCACGATGGGCGATTTCCCAGCGCGCCTGCCCACGCTGCACTGAGGGTGCAACAGGTTTCGAGCAACCCTCCCTATCTGTTCGCTTGATCTCGCCCTGAGCGGCTCCCCCACCTCCGATGGAAACAGTCCTCAAACAGAAATGTTTTGCTGATGTGGAAGAAGTGAAACAAAAAAACGAGACGCAGCATCAAAATCAACAAGTTCAAAAACTGTTTTGAGCAGTGGGAAGGAAGTCTCCATAGACGTATTGCATCAAACGGGGAGTGCTTTGAAGGTGACTGATGTTTAAACATGTGAAGACAAATGCACAATTTTTATAGATAAATTCCACTTTTGAGGGGTCCTCCTCATATACAAAAACCTGCTCAACATCACCAGTCATCAGCAAAAGTCGTATGAAAACCATGGTGAGATACTGCGTCATACCTGCCAGGACGGCTGTTAGTAACAAAAGAAGGCACCTGTTGGTGAAGACAGGAAGGAAAAGGGACTCAGGCGTAGCGTTTCGGGGGATGTAAACGGGTGCAGCCATCACGGAGAACAGTACGGGGTTTCCTCTGAGAACTGAGAGCGCTGCCCCAGGCTCCGATGAGCCCACCCCAGGGTATTCACCAGAGGACGGAGCGCAGGGTCCCCGTCCCAGGGAGACGCCCCCACTGCCAAGCGCAGCAGCACCGCTCACAGTCGCCGGGGTTTGGAGACGACCTGCGTGGCCACCGACACGCGGCAGGCGACATAAGAAAGGAATCGCGGTGTCTACACACGTTGGAAGGTTGCCCGGCCTTCACAGGGAAGAACTGCCACTCCCAGCGGCACGGCAGGACCGGAGGGCGCGTGCCAGGCGACGCAGAGCGAGCGCGCGTGCTGCGTGACGTCACGCGCACGGAGAGCCTGAAGCGGTGCGGTCCGTAGGCGCAGACAGTGGGACAGCGGCCGCCGGCCGCTGGCAGGGGGGTGGCGGAGGGGGCGAGGGCCCCAGATGCGGGTTTCTAGTTACACAAGATACGGAAATTCTGGGACCCCCAGGTAGTCAGGCCCTGCTCGTTTTTCTTCGTTTTTTCTCCTTCTGCTCCTCAGACTCGGCACTTGGCTTTGTCCTGTCCTCAGGGGCTGCCTCCTTCTGGCTGCCCAGATCTGCTGTTTATTCCCCCCCCAGTGAATTTTTAATTTCATTCATTATAATTTTCAGCTTCAGAGTCTGTTTGGTTCCCTGTCGTAATTCCTCTCTGCCTATTGCTGATATTCTCATTTCGGTCCTGTATCGTTGCCTTGATTGCCTTTAGTTCTTCGCCGTGTTTGCCGGGAGCTCTTTGAGCTCATTTAAGACTGTCGTTTTAGAGGTTTTGTCCAGTAAGCCGGGGGTCCGGGCTTCCTCAAGGACAGCCTCTGTCGCCGTATTTTGTTTCATCAAATGCGCCGTGTTCTCCTGGTTCTTTGTGCACCTTGGGATTGGCCCGTTGAACTCGGGCACTGGAAACGCAGCCACTTCCCTGGTCTCGGCCAACCAGAGGGCCTTGCCCTGGGCCCCGGCCTGGGCCCCGGGGAGGAGCTGAAACCTTCCCCAGGCCTTTTCTGAGGATGCACCTCCCATGTTGCTCTGTCGGTCCTCTGTCTGCACCACAGCTTGCAACTGTCTCAGGCTCCTCGGGCCTCCGATGACCTGCTTGTCTACCCACGGCCTCCTGCCCGAGGCATGAGGTCCCCTGGCTCCCGGCGGCTTCCTGAGCGCCCTGCCCGCCCTGCTTTGGGGAAGGATGGAAGGACCCAGGCCTCTGACACGCTGGGGCGGGGGTGGGACAAGGCAAGACCCTTCCTGTGGCTTTGAAGGGGTCTTTTTCTTCATGCGTATTCGTTTGGGTGCCGCAGACCTTTGACTGGTTTGCAGAGCTCCGACCAGACCGGTTGGAGCGGTCGCTGTGCTTTGTTTTGCTTTATGTTTCTGTGGGGGGACAAAGGCTTGGCGCCGCCCCGCCCGCCATCTGCTGTCACTACTCGGTTTCTGTCAGTTCCTGCTGAGCAGCTCTGACTGAGGGCCCGTTCTAATCGGGGCAGCAATGAGCAACGTGTCTCCTCGGCGATGCGGTTGTAGGACTAACTGGCGCCGCAGCGGGCATCTGTGTGGGCCGCGCCCGACGCAGCGTGGGTCAGCGGGCGAGCGGGGCAAACGGATCCCAGCGCGGCTCCTTAGTTAGGCATCTCTGTGTTCCCTTCTTAAACATGAGTGCAACACACCTTAGGTGGCGGAGAGGAGTCCGCAGAGGGACACTTCTCCAAAAGTACTTGCAGGGTGCTCGGTAAAAATCAATAATCATGCAAATCACCGAGTGTGTCTCTTGTTTACGGCTCCACCCTGAGTGGCCACCCAGAGTGACATTGGCCCTTAGGCCAGGCATAATAAGGACGTACTGTTTTTTGAGTAGCTAACAAAGAGCATTTTAATTCCCAGTGTTTTCAGTCCCGGATCGAAGCCGGGGTGTTGCTTTCCAAGAGCCTTCAGGGCTGGCTCGGGTGAGGGAGCCCAGCCGCCTGGAGAGCGGGGCTGGCGGCCGGGGCTCAAGCGCATGGCGAGGCTTTGTTAGAAAGCACAACAGCAGGCGGCAGGCGTGGAGCCCGCCCCCACGGTGCTCACACCCTGTGGCTCCGTCACTCCGCCCCGGGGCATCTGAGGGAGCCAGGCAGCCGCAGACGAGATGCGGCTCAGACAGGAGGCTGAGGGACGCTCCTCACAGCACCTGGCGCCTCTGAAGCACCAGGGGCTAATTCCAGGCATCGCGATCAAGACCAGCCTCTGTTCTCAGGGAGCTTTGAAGTGAAAAATGGGAAATACTGGGAATGCACAATAAAAGAGAAAAGGTCAAGTAAATGTTGCGCATCTATAAGGTGGAACATTATGAAGCTTTGAAAAAATCTTGTTTGGAGGAATTTTTAATGCAAGGGGTATATGCTGATTGCATAATGTTATTTAAAAAAGAGAAAGGCTTTATTTAGCACAATATCAATTTTGTTTGAAAACTGCAAATAGTCACATAGGGAAAAAGCCTGAAAATACACCGACATGTTAACAATGGTTGATGGCATTATGGGTAATTTAAAGTTTCTTTTTGTACTTTTCTATGTCTAAGATTCTTTTGAATGTGCATATGTTACTTATATAACCAGAAAAAAATATACACATATTTTCAGAGAGAGAGACTTGGGGCGGGAATGCCCGTTGTGTTCAGAGGCCGCGAGAGGCCACTTTCTGGGGGCATGTCTCCTCCGGGGGGGGGGGGGGTCGGGGGAGGAGGGGAGGAGGGAAGACACCCACTTTCTGCTTGAGCAGCCCCTTCTTACCCCCATCCTGCCCAGCGTCCCCCGCCCAACCTGTCCCCGCCCCCCTCGGACAGCGGGGTAGCGGGTCCGAGCTTGGAGCGGTTCTCCCGCCGCGCGTCCGCAACGCGCCTGCTTGCAGCCCACGCAAAACAGGTGCCGCTGTTTCTGTCCCAGGGTTGTTTGTTTTTCTTTCCAATGTGGGGGGGATGTTTTTAGCCCTTTCTGATCTTTTTGCTAATATGAAAACTCTGTGGTTTTTATTTTCAGTGAAAATCGACCCCCCTGTGATTTCTGAGGTGGAACGGGTGCCGGGCGCCAAACGAATGCTTCTCGTGCGATGGACCAGCCCGGCGCTGGCCCCTGTGTCGTCGACTCTGAACTGCACACTCCGGTTCAGGCCCACCGGCAGTGACCGCTGGGTGAGTGCCCGTGGCGGTGATTCCGCCGGGGGCCCGGGGAGGGTCGCCGACAGCCCCTGCTGACCTGGCACCGCGTCAGCGCTGTCCGGGCGCCGCGCTGCCCTCCCGCTCCACGCCCAGCGCGGCCACTTCCGCCGCCTCCTGCCGTTCGCCTGCAGGTCCTTCAAACACAGACACCTTCGTTCGCCTCTTCATTCTCCCGTTGCCTGGCACCTGTGCCTGATAAGTGGTTGTTTAACTAAATGATATAAAGGCTAATTCTAAAATCCCAGAATGTCCATAATAGAAGATTCACGTTTGTAAGAGGCTGTAGGAGTTACGAAGTGCTTTCTTGTGCTCCAAACTGTTTAATCTTGACAAGGATCCTATAAGCAAAGTGCCACTATTTTTTACTTTTTATACGAGGGGGGACCCAAATACACGCAGAATTATCTTCTGGAGGGCGGGCCCCTTGTAGCGCAGGCTCCCCGCTCTAGGCGGGTGTTCTAGGAACCCACCTGCCTCAGTGTACCAGCTGGCATGATTGTGAGAGGCTGCGTTTGGCTTCAGCGAGGTTTTGTTTTGTTTTTGTTTTTTGAAGACTCGGTGAGTTTGCCCATTTCTTGATGGGTGATTTACGAGCGCGCCCACCCACAGGGCGCGGAGTGTTGAGCAGTTTTTGACCAAAAGTGGCGCGACCCCTACGCGCCACTCTCCCTACGCGCCTGGTCTCGTCCCGAGGATATTTTTTGTTTTTGTTTTCCTGGATGAGAAAAGTCCTCAAAGGGAAATGTTTTTCTGATGTGCAAGAGGTGAAACAAACAATGACAGACGCGCTGAAAAGCATCAAAACCGACAAGTTCAAAAACTGTCCTGAGCTGTGGAAAAAACGTCTCAGTAGGTGCGTTGTGTCCGACGGGGAGGACTTTGGAGGGGCCTCAAGTCTATGCGTGTAAGAGGAGGTACACAGTTATTTATGAGTAAGTTCCGGATTTGCTCCCCTCGCCCCCACCCACGTAGGTCAGGGGGTGGCCGTGCAGAGAGTGTAAATCACTTCTCCAGGTTCGCAAGGTTTGCGGGCCCCAGGCTGCGCCCGGGGCCCCTGCCTCGGCTCAGCCGCGCGCTGGACCGCCCTCGGCAGCCCCCGTCACGTTCACTGGTCAGCGTAAGTCGGTGTGGGCCGGCAGGTAAAGGCCCCCGTGCAGCCGCGTGGCCGGGGCTGCGGCACACAGCCGAGTCCCCACGTTCCTGGCAGAGGGTCGCGTCCCGAAGGGACTTCAGCGGCTGCGTGAAGCAGCAGGCTCACCTTACTAACGAGGACCCTCGGGTCTAGAAAGAAGCGCTTCATTCACCTCTCTGCCCCCAAGAGTGTCCGAGGGAACTGAGCATCCAGGCTGCTGCGATCTTTGGCAGCTTGATCGGTTCTTTGACACGAAGGCTCGGGGAGAAGGCGCCGTCTGGGACTGACGAAGCCAGTGCTTCTGTTGACAACAGACGCTCCGGCTGCCCACGGTCCCTCAGCTTCTCCGGGTCTTGTCCACGAGGGAGGTTGCACTCAGTGCCCCTGAGGGGGCTACTGTCCCCTGGGCCTCATCTCAAGGTGCTGCAGTCCCTCCAGGGTTTGAGCTGAGGCCTGGGTTGCCCGGGGCCCCAGGGCTCCACCCGGCTTCGCAGGGCTGCTCACTCGCCCCAGCTCAAGGCCGGCGTCTCTGCCTCGTGGGCTAGAGGCGGGGCGTGGGCGGTGGGTGGTTTTGGGGGTCCCTGGCATGCATGGAGATTTATTTATGAAAATTATACATTTAAAAGTTTGAGATACAATGCCACTAGTTCTGAAAAGGTAAGCGAGGCTTGGAGAGTGAAGGAGAAATATAGAAAGCTACCTTGTGGTCTCCGTCCGGCTCAAGGTTCTCTGTGCCTTGCAGATGGAAGTCAGCTTTGAGACAGAGGCGAACAGAGACCACGCCTTCAACCTCACGGGGCTGCAGGCCTTCACGGAATATGTCATAGCTCTGCAGTGTGCGACTAACAGGTCCAAGTTCCAGAGTGGCTGGAGCCCAGAGCAGACGGGGACAACCGAGGAGGAAGGCAAGCTGGTCCCCCGCGACTCCCCGCTGCTGGCGCTGGGTCCGGGCGGCCGGGCCGTGCTCTGTGGGGTTTGCCCGGTGCGGCGCCCGGGCCTCGGGAACCCACAGTCCTGGGCCCCGGGGGGTTGTGCCTTTCCTCCCTGCAGGGTCCGCCCCGGCCGCTGGTCGTAAAGGCCTTGGGGAAGGGGGGGAGCACCGGCAGGGCTGAGGGGGCGTCTCCGCGGGAGGCAGAGGAAGCCAAGCACGAGGCCCCATGCGCCCAGCTCGCCCCCAGGGGACCCAGCCGCTGTCCCCGGCGCGGCCTAACAGCCAGGCTTGTCTTTCCCCGAGAGCAGCTGTGGAACCGTGACTCCATCACGGCAACACAGGCTGCTGGTCTTACCCTTTGGCACGCTTTTCTGCATTGCGAAGTTGTCTTGAGCTGGGGTTCGGTCTTTTCACGTTAAGACACTCTTGCCAGAAGTCAGAGAGGCCCCTGAAAACAATCCCCACGCTCAGGTAGCTCAGGTCCTGCGGCCGCGCCCGCCCCTCGCCGACCCGACGACGCAGCCTCAGCGGCGCCTCCCTCTGACGGCCCGCCCCTGCGGCCCTCACGGGACGGGACGGGTCCCCACTCCTCCGGGGCACAGGCCCTCCGCTCCCGCCAGCTCTTCAGGACGGCTGCCCCCCGCTCTCCCACCCACAGCTCAGCATTTTGAAATGTTAGGGGCAGGGCAGACCATTCAGGCAGAAGTTGCCAGTCGTCCACCTCTTGCCAAAACCTGCTCGAGGCAAGAGATGTATAGTCCAGAGACCCAGTGCCATGTGACTTCCTCTGTGTTTGCAAGTGTTACCCCTGTGGGGTGAGGTTGTCAGAAGCTGACGCACCTGAGCTGGGCTGTCTTAGGTTCTGTTGTTCACCAGAGGGACGCAGGGATCGAGGGTGGCGGCTCCGCCGTGGTGTGAATGTGCTTTCGCTCACCTGCGAGGGCCCACGGTGGCCTTGGTGTCAGCCTGTGCTGACGCGCGCTCTCTCGCTCTGTCTCTCCACGTGGATTTCTGTGTTTCGGTTTTATCGGGCCCTGAGAAATACGCAATGTGATTCCTCTCCTCTCTTCCTGCCTGGAAGACTGGCCTTAAACTCAGAGCTCAGAGCGGGAGGGAGCACAGGTTATTTCTCCGCTCCTTTCTCCTTAATTCCTCCTTACGTGTTCTGACATTGAAAGGGTGCAGGTTTGACCTTTCAGGAAGTAGACAGGGTATAAATCACAGGTGTTTCCTCGTCAGCTCTGTCACTCCCGGCTTTAGCGCCTGTAGGCCTGATGCCCGAGGGGACGTGAAATGTCACACATCCGTCCACCTTTGGGTGACAAAGTCCGTTACAACGGGGCCTCCTGTCCTCACTCTTTAGCCTCACGTGGCCTCGGCAGACCCGAGACTCTCACCCCGGCTGAGTCCAGTCCTTGGCCGCGAGGTTCAGCCCTCGCTGGTCAGCGCCATGCCGTCCCCGCGGGACGCTGCAGCGAGCCCCTCCCAGCCGCCCCGTTCACAGTCGCCGCCCCCCGAGGGCGACCGTCTGCGCTGAGCCGCCCTCTCGTCCCCACAGCCCCGCTCGGCCTGGATGTGTGGAGGGTCCTCGGACCGGCCCGGGCGGACGGACAGCGGCCCGTGAAGCTGCTGTGGAAGGTGACCGCGCTCTGGCTTCTTTGTTTGTTTGTTTAAAGCCCTTCGTCTCTTATTCCTCAAAGAACCGTGAGTCTTGAAGCACTCGGCCTCCTGACTTTCCTTCCCACGAGGCTGTGCGATGCCCCGAGTCTCAGCCTGGTTCCCCCGCCCGCAAAGCCTGCAGGCCGCCTGCGGACGGCCTGAGGGTGCGTGGAGCCCGCGGCCCCTCTGTCCTGCCGTCCGAAGCGCAGGCGCCTTGGGCAGGTGCCAGGTCCCGGGCAGCAGGCACCCCAGCTGCGGCCGAGGGCCCCACGGGCGGGCCGGCGCTGAGGGCGTGGGAGGGCCCAGGGCCCGCAGCCCATGACAGTGCCCTCGGGGCACTGCGGGCGTGTGCTGCGCGTGTCCCTTTGTGTCCCTGCAGAGTGGGGACCGGGCAGCACGGAACAGGCCCGAACCCTGGGAGCGAGGGAGCCGGGCGCGTCAGGCGGGGCGGACCGAGGAGAGGAAGGGGAGAGCGGGCAGGAAACGGGGGAAGAGGCGCTAAATCGGGCAGGGAAAGGGCGGCTGGAGAGAGGGCGGCGACGGAGGGAAGGTGGGGGGCGCAGCAGGGAGGCGCTGGCCTTCGGGGGCATCCTCCAGTCTCAGGGAGCCCTGGCACGCTCTCCCGGGCTTACAAGGGTCCCGGGGAGTCCAGCCTGCTTTCGAAAACGGAGAAGTCGCCCTGCTTTGCCGAATGACATTCAATCCCTGCCGCCCCAGGGTCAGGGTATCCTCTGACCTTGGACCTTTCTCTTCCCTCCCCGCCCCCTCCCAGGACGGGGGGCCCCCTTGGTGGCAGGGGCACGAGGGGTGCTCAGTCAGCGGGGCCGCCCCCCGGGGGGGCGGGGAAGCCAGCAATGCACACCCCACGGTGGGCGGGCGGCGGGCCACCTGCGGGGGAGGTGACAGGACCTGCGCCCTCCTCCTGCCTGTGTCTAAGGACCCGAGCTGGTTAGGAGGCGGGAGGCAGCAGGGGACGTCGCGGCCCGGGAGCGCATCTCGACGCGGCCCTGACTTTAAAAGGGGGAAGCGTCTGGAGAGAAGGGCGCTCTGACCGGCCTGTTGTGTCCTGGGAGCCAGGAAGGAAGCCCCTAGGCCCTGGGGCGGAGGCGGGCAGGGGGCAGTGGACGCAGGGACCCTGTAGGCCCGCCTGGCCATGCAGGCCGTCGCTCACCCCAGCTGGGTGTCATCACAGGAAGAGCTTGGCTTGGAGCGCCGGGGCCACCTGGGGCTGCTGACCAGGGACAGAGGGCTGAGAGGCGCGGCCCCCCCCCCCGACTGAGCTGGGGTGCTGGATGCCTCGTCCGGGGAGGCGAGCCCCCTCTGCAGAGACGGGGTGGGGATAAGAGGCAAGCGCCCAGGACGCCCAACCCAGGCGCCCGGGGCCAGGACGGGCTGGGGCCGGCTCAGCTGCGGAGCTGATCTCCTCGCTGGGGAGGGAGGGCGAGGAGAGGCAGCCGAAAGGCGAGGGGGCCCCCGGCTGCACGGCGCAGGCGCTCGCGGCCTCACGGAACTAGGCCTCCGTGAGCGTGACGCCACGGGCCCGTCCGGCACACGCCCTCCGCTGGCCCTTGCAGGTTCCGTGTGGCAGCAGCGGCTGTGCTGGTCGCCCTGCGAGGGCGGCTGCCTGCTCGGGGTTCACGCCTGAGAGCTGATACCGCCCGCCCCTCCCCACACCGTGCACCGCCAGCTCAGGGCTGTCCTTTGTTTCTGGCAATAACCGTGGGTTGCTCTGTTCCAAAGGTAAGAGGAGCTCTGTCTCAGGAGAGAACACTTGGCTACCTCATACAGTACTTTCCAGAAAACAGCACTCACCTCGCGAAGACCGTGAACACCACTGGCCAGCAACTGGAGCTGTATCTGGACCAGGAGGCCTACCAGGTTTCGATGGTCGCCTACAATTCTTTCGGACAGAGCCCCGAGGCCACCCTGAGGGTCCCGGCCGCCACTGAAAAGCGTGAGTACAGCGAACGCCGCCTCCTGAGACGCCTGTCCCGGTAGGGGGCGGGGGGAGTCCCTGTCCTCTCTTGGGTCCCTGTCCTCTCGTGGGTCCCTGCTCCCCTTGAATCCCAATGAAAACCAAGTGGAGACTTTCTTGGTTCTGGTGGGAAGAGCAAGATCTGCTGGTAATTAGTGAGCCCACGAAGTAACGTTCCAGGAAGCAAAGCCTCAGTTAAAACCAGACTTCGTAAGCCACCAGGCAAAACCACCAGCCGGCAGGGCTCCCCGGCAGCTTGCGTTTGTCGTGGCCACAACGACGGCCGAGCCCTGCCCAACGGGCAGAGCCGCCGGGAGTGCCAGCGCTGCCACCGTGCCTTCGGACCTCCCCCCCGTACTGACCCCGTCCCGGTCCCCACGCCGCCTCGTTTGCTCACTCGCGTCTCTGCTCACACTCCTGCGCTTCCTCCGACCACTGAGTCAGGGAGACCCCGCGTGCGCACGCTCGCCCGTACGTCCCTCCTCACATTTTTGTTAAGTCGTATTTGCCGCTGGACGTTCCCTAGGTAAACTCACATTTTACGCCCTGTTTTAGAATAAAATCCCTCCTTTGACTCTTACTCGAGGCATTGCAGGCAGTGGGTCCCCCTGCTTTACTTGTCTGTGGACCTTAACTAAGGTTGCGCTCGGTTCCCGTGGGGTCCCTGGTCCCCCCCAGCTCTGCAGAGACCCACTTCGTGCCCAAAGCGTCACTGTGTCATCCGTTACAACAGTCCCAGACCGGGCGTAGGCAAACGGCGGCTCCTTGGCCAACCCGGGCCTGACGGCTATTTTTGTAACTCAAGGTTTACGGGCGCACCGCCGCACCTATCAGTTTACGGGTGGCCGGCATCTCCTTCGGTCTGGCAAGGGCGGTGTCAGCAGCTGCAACAGAGACCACCCGGCCCCCAGAACCTAACGTGTTTCCTATTTGGCTCTGCACAGAGCGGGTGTAGACACCTGTGTTAAACATGCAAGAAAATAGTCTCTTATAGAAGCCGTGTAAGGAAGCAGAGTTGGCTGGAGAACAGCTGGGATCGTTGTCGCAAGCGCGGCCGCCACTGAGTGCGCGTGACGTCTCTTCGGGGCACGCTTCGGGAAGGGAGGGGGTCCCGAGCGGGTCTCGCAGCGCAGCCGCCGGCCTTGCTGCCTGGAAATAGCCGAGTCACATCCCTCCCCCGCCCCACCCCACCTACTCCGGCTCCGGACCGGCTTCCCGCTGCAGGGGCTTTGGGGTTTGTTGGGGGCACGTCTCCGCGTCTTCCTCGTCTGGGCCTCTGTGCTCACTCAGACATGCTGGCTGCAGGTTCTGGCCTCGGAGGCTCTGGTGTGGGGGGTGGTGAAGGGGGGGCACGGCTGCGATCTTCTGAGCACCCCTCCCCCGCCACACTGCGCCTGCAGCAGCTCTCTCTGCCCGGTGAGCGCGTTTTCCACAAGACAGGCCACCGACTCTGCTGGCTCCCGCACCCCGGGTCTGTGACTTCCCTCCAGTCGGAGCCCTGGAGGCTGGTTCCAGCCAGGCCTGAGCTTCCCTCCGGGCGGGGGGAGGGGGGGGGAGGGCGCGGCAGGAAGCGCCATCTACTTCCTGGGGGAACATCTAGGTGCTTTGCTCAGGTGCATTTGTGTCTTCCTGGTACAGACACAATTCTTACCGCCCAAAGACAGGCCTCTGTAGCCAGGCCGGGCGGGGCTGCCGAGACTGGCGGAATTCGACGCCGCCGCCTCGCGTGGCTGTCGGCCGCCGCCACCCAGCGTCCCAGCCTGAGAATCGCAGGTGCCTGAAATTGTGCCCTTAGAGACGCATTCTCGGCCTCAGGCTGTGTCGCTGTGACCTGCAGAGACGCCTGGGGGACGCAAGTCCTCTGAGTCATCGGCCCTGCAGAGGGGCGCATCCGGGAGATAAGACAGGCTCCGAGGGCCCTTAGTTGGGGAAGGCGGGGCGAGGAAAGGGGGCCATAAAAGGGGTACCCCCCGGGGGGCTGTGGCAGAAGTCCTGAACCCTGACCTTCTCGACGGCCGGGCAGTGGCCGGAGGCCGACGTGGTGGGCGCCGCCGGGCGGGTGGGCGCTGGGTGGCTGCGAGGTGTCCTTCTCTTCACCTGCAGCGTTTCGCTGCATCGAGGCCCTGCAGACCGGCCTCGCCGGCGACCAGCTGGTGGTGGCGTGGCAGGGCTGCGACCGGGCTGTGGACACGTGGATGGTGGAGTGGCTCCCGGACCAGGACATGGACCCCTCGACCCTGTGCTGGGAACCGGTGTCGCAGGCCAGGAACTGGACCATGCCGCGGCGTGGCCGTTGTGGACCCGCAGGTAGCTTCTGAGTGGGATTCCACTTCATTTCCATCCGTTTTCAAATCTTCAACGCGGGCTGCAGAGCTGCGGACGTGGCGGACGGCATTTGACAAGCCCATGAAACACGCGTGTCTTGGCGTTTCCCGGCCGCCCTGGGCCGGGGGCCGGGCGTCGGACCTGCCTCTGGCAGGTTTCCGGGAGAAATGCCGCCTCCGCACCCGCGTCCGAGGGCCCTTCCCGGTGCCTCGACCATGTGGCCCGGGGCCCCTTCAGTTCTGGCGGCCGTTCCGGAGCCGGCCCTTCCGCAGGGGACAGGCGCGGGGAACCGTCTCTCCCGGGACGTCCCTGGTCCCTAGAGGGCACACGAATCAGGCTTTACCCGCCCACTCCCACCGGCCTGAACTCTTCTTCCCTCTTAACCGCACCTGCAGGGAGACTCGCGCCGGGGGGGGGGGCGGGGGGGCAGGCCAACAGAGCTAGACCGGGCGGTATCTGCGTGCTCCGGGGCGGCGCGCTGGAGACTGTCCCCAAGCCACACAGCGAAACCCGTGGCGCGGGGTCCTGGCCTCGCCCCTCTCCCTTCCGGGGCGGCTCTATCATTTCATCCAAGTGGCTCAGGTTCAGTTCTAAGAATTAACTTAAAATATTAGTACTGGAATGGATGCGAGAGAGTGTCCAACCTCGTCCCTCATTCCCAGGGGAGGAAGTGGAGAGAGAGGAGGGCCCGCCCTAAGCCTGAGGCCGCAGCTCTCGGTCTGGCGGTCTTGCACAAGCCGTGCTCTGCATTCTTAATGCTTCTCTCTCTCTGTCTTTTTTACAGACATATCAACACCTTTCTGCTGCTATAACATCTCGGTGTATCCGATGCTGCAAGACCTTGTGGGCGAGCCATACTCTGTCCAGGCTTATGCTGAGCAGGGTGGTAGGTGTGGCCCAGGTCCGGGGGGCGGGGGGCGGTGGGGAGCACTGGCCCGTCCAGCACGCAGCCGCGGCTGCAAGTGCCCGCAGGCCCTGTGTGCCTGAGGCCGCAGGGCCCGGGTTGGGGAGTCGCCGGCTTTCGGGGCAGGGTGGACGTCGGATGTCATCAGGTCTGAGCCCCGCGGTCCATAAATGGAGAGCTGAGGCTCAGAGGGGCGAGGACTTGCCCAATGTCCCAAAGGAACGGAGGGCAAACAGCTGCAGGCGGAAATGACGTTCCTTTCAGGCCGAGCTGGGCCTGCAGCGTTCACGGGGGGCGGGGCAGATGCCAAAGGTTGCTCTTAACTGCGTAGCAGGGAGGCAGGGCTTCCCGGTGAACCCCTCAGACTTCGTTTTTATCTTTTTGGAAGTTAACGCCTTCCAGCTTCACTGTGGAAGGTGGATCTTGTCGCTCAAAGCCGCCCATGTAAACATGCTCCGCCCCTGTGCGGTGATCACGGGACGGGTGTGAACAAAGGCACTGGCATCGCCTCAGAGTGAGGGGTCCACAGAAGGCCCCCTTCCTCCTCCTGCTCTGCAGGGAGGACCCCAGCGACCGACCTTGTTGGGCGAGCCGGCGCATACACTAGCTCGCCGCCCCTGCGCCCAGCGCGACTCCGGCCCGAGTGCCGGGCAGGCTCTGCAGGGGGCCGGCTGGGCTGCCTCCGTGGTCACGGTCTGTCCTGCTCTCCTGGGAAGTCCCGTCCGCAGGTCCCGCGGTGACGGTGGAGAGCATCGGCGTGAAGACAGTGACCATCACGTGGAGCGAGGTTCCCAAAAGCCAGAGAAACGGCTTCATCCGCAACTACACCATCTTCTACCAAGCCGAGGACGGGGCGGGTGCCTGTAAGTCTGCTGTGGCCGAGCCGGAAAGAGCCCCAGGGCCCAGAGTAGAGGCGACGGCAGGCCGGCCGGCGTCCCTCGGCGTCTCCGAGCCTCTCTGAACACGGGCCGAGGGCACCGACCTCTGGAGATTTTTGGAATTAGATGAGCGCGGTCTCAGCACCTGGACGTCCTGCAGGAGCTGGAGCTGGCAGTGTGATTTGGCCCGGTCGGGTCGAGCCGGCCCGGCGCCCTCCCGGGGGCTTCCTGCCGCTGCCCCGGACGGGGTGCCCTGGGCGGGCGGGTGGGGCGCAGACGGACCACGGCGGCGCCCCCTCCAGGAGGCGCCCTTTGCCGAGCCTCCGGCTGCCGCTGCCCCCTCATACTTTTTTCTTGAATCCACACTATCTGCTGACACCCTCGCTTCTGGCCCAGGCTTGGAGCTCTGTCTAGGCCAATTTTTTGTTACGATAGAATGCGTAGAAAATGGACCGCATTCACATTTTAAGGCGTACGGTTAGGGGCGCGCAGTGGTGCTGCGTGCCCGTCGCCCCCGCCCGTTTCCATCCCGAGCGGGAGCCTGTTCCACGCGTCAGCCGCTTCCTGTCGCCTCTTGCAAAAGCCGCTCCATCCGCAGAACCGCTCTCTGTCTCTCTGCGCTTCCTGTTCTGGACTTGTCACCTGCGTGGGATCCTGCGACGCGTGGCCTTGCATGTGGAGCCTCTTTCGCTGGGCACAGGGCTTCCCACGTTGATCCTTGGGGTGGCGGGTGTTCGTTCCCCTTATGGCTGAACACCACCGCGCGGAGGCGGCCCGCACGCTGTTTCTCCTTCATCCGCCCGTGGACCCCCCGGGTGTCTCCGCCTCCTGGCTGCTGGGAGAGACACCGCTGTGAGCGCTCCATGCGGGGTCTGGCGGGAACGCCAGCGTACGCTGTCTGTCTAGTCCCTGCTTTTGGTTCTCTGGGACGCATACCAACGACAGTGCCAGTTTAACCTGCTGAGAAACTACCCAACCTCTCCACTGAGGCGGCACCATTCCCAGCAGTGGGCGGGGTCCCGCAGTCTCCACATCCTTAGCGACTCTTGTTATCGTCCGTTTAAAACCCTGTCCCAGGTTTCCTCGTGGGCACCGCACAGAGTGCTCTCGTAGTGTGGTTTCGATCGGCACTTTCTTAACGACGCTGGGGCTGGGCATCGAGCACGGGCTTGTCGGCCATCAGAGCGCGGCCTTTGGGGTCTCCTCAGCCTCGCCCGTTTTCAGACCGGGTTGTCTTTTGGTTATTGAGTGGTGGGAGATGTTTTGTATATTCTGTCCCTACCAAAGACGTGATTTGTGAGTATTTTTTCCCGTTCCGCGGTTGTCATTTCACTCTGATAAGGTCGTTTGATGCACCGAAGCTTTTCATTTTGGCGAAGTCCGGGTTCGTCAGTTTTAACCGGTGGCTTGTGTGCTGGGTGTCGGACCTAAGGAACCGCCGCCCGGAGGACCGAGCGGAGGGCCGGGGGGTGCGGCGGCCGCGCCGGCCTCTGGTGTGCCCATCTCGCGCCGCTGGGGCGGGGCTCCGGCCGGCCGGCGGCGGTGCCTGACGCCCACGCTTTCCCCGCAGCCCGCACGGTCGGCCCCCGCACCCTGCGGTACAGCCTGGAGTCTCTGGCGCGAGGGACCCCGTACACGCTGCAGGTCATGGCCAGCACCCTGGCCGGGGGCACCAACGGCACCAGGATAAACTTCAAGACGCTGTCGATCAGTGAGTGTCTCCTTCCGGCCCCGGCGGGGAGAGGCGCGTCCGCCAGGGTCGGGGCAGCGGGGGGTCGGGGGGACGGTGCCTCAGCGGGAGGGGCCGCTCCCCAGCTCCTCGCCGTCCTTGCCCTCCCGGAGGGTGCGTGGGCGCAGAGGGTGGGGGCGCAGGGGACCGAGGGCTGAATTGGGAGAGACGGGCCGTCCGGCGCCTTCCTCACATGCCACCTTGAGGTTTGGGTTCATGCTCACTTCACTCTCAGCTCCCGCCGCGAGGCTGTCCCCCAGTTCACGGTCACCCCGTGGTGGGGCCTCGGAGGGAAAGTCCTGGTTGGACAAGCAGCACAGGCCCACAGGAGGGGACTTGCCCGCATCGGTTTTGGAGTTTTTTAAAGCAAAAACGTATATATAACATGTTCTACTCATCAGCTTTTATTTTAAAAATTGGAAGGAAGAAAAATTTAATAAATGCAACGGAAACGGAAACTGCATCGTAGCTTTGCACGGCAGTCGTGGGCAGTGCTCCAGAGGGACCCAAGGTGGGGCTGGCGGGGAGACGAGGGAGGAGGAAGGAGGAACAGGTGTGTCTGTTTTCCCACGTCCCGGAGTGAAAGACATTCAGTTTTAAGGATGTGCTACAACTGCTCTGCCCTGGCTGGGCGGCTCTGTGGGTCGGAGCGTCACCCCGTACACCTGGAAGGTGAGGTTTGACCCCCAGGCAGGACCCAGGCGCAGGCCGCAGGCGCGACCCCTGGTTGGGGCGCACACCGGAGGCCACCGACCGATCTTTCTTTCTCCCATCGATGTTTCTCTCTCTTTCCCTGTCTTCCTCTCTCTCCAAAATCAATAAAAACATACCCTCGGTGAGAATTTATTAAAAAAAAAAAACCAACCAAGACTTTTGAAGAATAAACATTTTATATTAAAAGCGAAGGAACAAATTTTGCAGTAACAGCTGCCGTCTGCTTTACGTGGCCTTGCAAGTCTCTCGTTCACCGCCTTTTCTAAAGAACAGACGCAGCTTGAACGGCTCCGGGAGACGCGGACACAGAGCGCGTTTTTCCCGAGAGACCCTGTGGCGTTTTCGTGGGCGAACGCTGTGTTCTCGCAGCTCTTTTTGAAATCGTGGGGCGTCTCCTGCCTGGAGTGCTTTGCCCCTACCTTTGCCCAGAGGTTCCTTCCCATTGGAAACGTGAGCTCAAATTTTGCTTCTCAAAGACGCCGATGGCATTTGTTGCCTGGACCCTTCTCCTGAGCGCGAGCTCCTCCGGGAGAGCGGGGGTCGGCCGGTCCCTGCCCGCTGCTGGCTGTCTTGCTACCCGGAGTTGTGCGCGGTGCGCAGGGAGGGCTCGGTCGACAGTCACGGAGCGAATGGCCGGGGGGGTGGCGGGGGAGGCCGGGCGCACGCTGCCGAGCTCACGCAGGGAGGGCGGGGGGGAGTGGGAGCCACACACGCCGCGTTTTCTTTTTAACTCACGACCTGGACTGAATGGAAAGGGAAGAGTAAGGCGTGTGCAGCCGAAGCCCAGGGAGAAGGACGGTGGCCTGGGCCCGGGGCCCGGCCGGGAGGGCCCACCGCGCTCACGGCTGCTTCTCCCTGCAGGCGTCCTGGAGATCGGCCTCCTCACCCTGCTGGTTGGCAGCGGGCTGCTCATCCTCCTCGTCCTGGCGGTGACCTGCGGTCTCAGGAACCCCACGTGAGCTCACAGCCCACCTGCAGCGCGGGCCCGAAGACCGGGGCGAGGGACGGGTGGGGAGCGACGTGGGGTGGGGGGCGCCCCGCAACGGGTGGTGGCCGTCCCTTCATTGGTTCCCTGCTGCTGAGCATCCCGTGCCCTGCCCCGGGGTTCCCCGCGCGCTGGCGGGACGACGGGACTGCCTGCCCGGCCCGAGCACCGGCCCTGTGGAGGCCAGGGAGCGCCAGCCGCCCCTGGGCTTTGTCGGCCGGGCTCAGCTCCTGGGCCCCGAGCCGGGGAGAAGGCCCTTTCTCTCGGGGCCTGGGGGGTCCCTGAGGGCAGGAGGGCTCAGGGCAGGCAGAGCCGGTGCTGGAGCCCGTGGGCTGAGGAGTTAAGGTGCCGGCTGGCCACCAGCCCAGCATGGGCTGCTCCCGCTCTGGGGCAGGGAGGGGGGCGGGGGCGGGGGCCACTGGCTTGCCCGCTGCGCCCCAGGGGAGGGTGGCTTGGCTCTGGGGCGCGGTGCTGCCCTGCGGGCCAAGGGCTCCCTGCTGGCGGCCCTCCCTGCCGAGCGGCCGGCCCTGGGCCCCTCTGCCCAGCAGCTGAGCTCAATTGTGGTCGTGCTGCCATCGGCCTCAGCTGCCAAGTGCAGATTTTTGCCCAGCCGCCGGCACACACTCTTGGGCACCTGGCATGCCTAGCAAGCTCCCAGGGGCGCCGCCACCACCGCGCGGCGGAACCGGGCTTCGAGGGCCCGCGCGGTCGCGGGGGCCGCCCCCAGGGCGCAGCCCCGCTCTTCCCGGGGGGCGCGTCTCTGAGCGATGGCCTGGGCGGCCCGGTGTCAAGTGCAGGGGTAGGGAGAGCTCTGTGTGGGACAGGCCCCCTCCCGCCCGCCCCGCGGTGGCCCACAACGTCACTCGCATCCTGCCCGTTCCCCAGCGCGGGCCAGGAGCTCAGAGCCGCGGTGTCCGTGCGGAAAGCTCCTGGGACTCACTCCTGTTGGGAAACCCCTTCTCTTGCAGCAAGTCCAAGTGCCCGTGTTGGCCTCAGGTGCCCAACCCTGCCCAGAGCAGCATCGCCATGTGGCCTGGAGACGGCCTGCAGGTAAGCCGCTCCCGGGCGGCGGCGGGGGGCGGGGCGGGGGGGGGTGCGGGGCGCGGCCTGCTCCCACGGAGCAAGGGGGAGCGGGAGAAAGACAGTTGTCCCACCCGTAGGACCCGCCCGCCGGATCAGCGAGCGAGTACCTAGCTCTCTGAGTGGTTGGGAAAACAGCCGCGGTGACCGAGAGGCCACCTGGAGCCCTGAGGGGACCCGCTGTGCACAGGCCCAGGACAGCCAGGCGCCCAGGGGCCCAGAGGCGGGGAAGGCGCCGCATGCAGCTTGCCCGGCCGGCCAGAGTTCGCGTCACCCTTGAGCTGGAGTGGGTTTCCCAGCGAATGACTCAGAAGTAGAAACCCTCTTTTTTTCTTTCTTTTTTTTTTTCTTTTGGTGACATTTAAAATTGAAAACAGTCCTGAAAAATTTAAGGCTGAATTCCTTGCTCCCATGGAAATAAGCCCAATCAAATACGGCCTTTAAACCGTGCGCGTTGGGAGGCTGTGGCCGCGTCTCCTGCTGCGGGAATTTTTAACCTCACCCCTTGTCTCAGCTCAGAGTCTCTTTTTTGACATGGACGTTTTAAAATTATTTTTGCTTATACCTTTTACCTTTTGTTGCTTGGGTTTCTATTTCCTCCTCTCCGTCACGGGCCTTGTGAGGCCCTGCTTGCCTTCCTCCTCCCCGAGTGCTGCTAAGTGAGCAGGGCCGGCCCCCGCGGGGTGCGCCGGTCCGGGCGCCTGGGGAGCCGGCTGCCGCGCTGGCCCCGAGCCCGCCCTCCGCGGACCCTCGGCCGGCTGGGCTCTGGCAACACGAAGGCGACGAGGAAAACACTGTCCCTGGCACAGGCCACCGGGGGTTCCTGGGAGGCGGGCAAGTCATGCGGGTCTAGGATTTCGGTTTTTCCAGCTCTGAGGGCCCCGTGACGCTCTCGCCTGGGCTGGGCCTTGTGAGCGCAGGGCGGGCGCCAGGCGCCTCCGAAGATCCACTGTCCCACGATGCGCGGGATGTGCTCCTGCTCCCGCCCGGCGCGCGTGCCAGGCCTCCTAGTAGGGCACGTGCAGGTGGCGCCCCCTTCTGGCCGCAGGGGGACGGCGGGGCTGTGCCCCGCCTCGTGAGCGCTCGGTTCGCCGTCCACAGTCCCCACGTGACCCTTGGGGGTGTCCCTTTTTCTTTTTCAGAATACGCTAAACCTGAAGGAGTTCGAGGACTCTGTGAATATGCAGGACAGGATTCTAAAACCATGCTCTGCCCCCAGAGACCTTATTGACAAGGTGGTGGTGAACTTTGAGAATTTTCTAGAAGAGGCTTCCACAGAGGAATCCGCGAAGGGCCAGGAGAATATTTTGGGAGGAGAAACGAACGAGTATGTGACCTCCCCCTTGAGGCTTTACAGCCCCCCCGGGAGGAGTTCCGGGGAGCCCCTCCTGGCGGCTGAGGTGGCGCCCAGGGAGCCCCAGCCCCCGCGCTCCAGGCGCCCGGGGGGCGAAGAGCCACTCCTGCCCTCTGCTCAGGGCGCCGGGCCAGCCCGTGCCCTCGAGGACGGAGCCGCAAACCCCTACTTGAAGAATTCCGTGACGACCAGGGAGTTCCTCGCGTCTGAAACCCGCCCAGGCCAAACCCCACGAGGCATCTAGAGGCCACCCAGCTCGGCCCCTCGGCGCCTCGGAGGGCGGCGTCTGCGGGGCGGCTGGCAGCCCGGCCGGGCCCCTGCCTGTGGCTGCACGGCCAGGAGGCGCCCACGGGACCCGCCGGGCGCATGACGCAGGAAACGCCACCCGCTTCCTCCATTCCGCGGGTACGCCCTTGCTGGGGCCCGTGGCCGATGGACTCGGGGGACAGTGGGCCCTGAGGCGATGTGTCGGCCTCCCCAGGAGCGGGGTTAGGGTTGTGGCGCTGGCCGGGGCTGCCTCTCCGAGTCCCAGGACAGAGCTCCCCCATCGCCAGAGGACAGCCTCACGGGAGGGCAGCGCCTCTGCTCTGTCACCTTGGCCTCCGGGCTCCCCTCTGAGTCACCCCTGAAATCCTACCTGTGTTGTCCCTCAACGTGGGGCGGGGAGTGGATCCCCCCCGACGGTGGCCCAAGGCTCCTCATCCCCCTCATTAAGTATTGAGCATCCGAGGCAGCGCCCCCCACTCCGCACCCCGAGGGCTCTCTCCAGGCGCACCGTGCGGTGGCCGCCACGAGCCGGCAGGTCCACATGCTCCGCTGGCCACGCTGCCCAGCGCTGGCCCCCTGCCCTCTGTGCTGCGCCCCAGCCTGGGGTAGGACACCTGGCATTTCAGTGGCTTGTGTCCTCGAACCTCCAGCTGACTCAGAGCCCCAGGATGAGGACGACCCCCCCCCGGCAGCAGGGGTGCCGAGGCTGGCACCCAAGCTGTGCCCACTGGGGGCTCCCCGCCTTCGAGCCAGCTGAGCACGCAGCTCGGACAGGCCGGGGAGCCTTGCGCCTCGGTGTGACAGCCGGGCTTGGCTGCCTGCCCGGGGGCTGGAGGCTGGCGCTGGGCTGGACCCTCAGCCCAGTGACATCAGAGGCTTCCTCACGTGTGGCCGTGACTCCTCTGGCCAGGGCGGCCGAAGGGCGAGCGTGAGCGGCCAGGCCGCCAGCTCAGCGGCGCAGAAACCCGCTTTGCTTTCCGGGAGCTGAAACTCGTCCCGGCCCCAGGCCCAGGAGTGGCTCTGGAGGGTCTGGGACTCTGGCCCTGTCCACCCTGGGACTGGTCCTGGGTGCGGAGGGTCAGCGGAGCGGCAGGGTTCGCCCCCCGCTCGGTGTCCGCCCCAGGCTGGTGTCGGGCGCCTGTGGCCCCACCCGCCCTCCAGCGTCGCCGGCCGCTCTCCGCAGCCAGGGGCTGCGTCCCGACCACGGGCACAAGCCAGCAGGGCCGCTGCCCGGAGCTCTGTCCTCAGCCTCAGGCGCCTGCAGCGCTCGCCCAGACCCTCCTCTCCTGCTCGCAGCACAGCCGGCTGGTCCCCGCCCCAGGTCCCGGGGGCAGGGAGGGACGGCGCGCAGGGACTCGGAGGCTCCCAGCTGTGGTGGGCTCCCCGCCCTGCCACCCGCCACCACCCCGCGCCCGGGCTCCCAGCACCGCTCTTCTCACCCCACCTCGGACCGCGCGCTTGCCGGGAGGCGCCCCCCGTGCCCACCCGGTTCTCTCTCCTGGAACCTCTGCCCGGCTCCGTGGGGGCCTCCTCGGGTTCTCGGGGGGCCGTGCCACGCGCCGGGAGCGAGTCCCCCCACCGTGTCTGTCTGCCTCTGCGAGAGGCTCTTGGAGCTAAAGCCTAGCAGCCCGAGCGGTTTCAGGGACAGAGGGGGGGCCTCCGTTCTCCCTCTGCCCCTCCCACCCCGTGCCCCCCACCCCCCACGCTGGCTTCCGCCGCCTCTTTTCTTCCTGTTTCCATCCCTACTCTCCCCATCAGCGCCTTCGGGGCGTTTTCTATGTTTACTGTGCAGCCTTTGAGAGGGAGCGGGGAGTCGGGGGGCCTGGCTCAGGACAGGACGGATGGTGGAGCTTCCCGGGGTGTCCGCTCCTCCTCCAGAGCTGGGGGGGTTTCCCAGGAGCCCTGGAAACTCAGTCCCCAGCCTCAGGCGGCTGTTTACGGGGGTGCCAAGGACGCAGCCGCTGCTGGTGGCCTTCCTGTCCTGGGGTCGCGCCACGGGCTGTCCCGGCCTGGCGCCCTGGGTCGCCTCTGCGGCTGGGCAGGCCCCCTGCATGTTCTCCGTTCCCGTCAGAGACACGAGAGGCCACGACGGGAAACCTGGGTTTCAGCGAGGTCACGGGAAGCGGATAAAACCCCTGTTTCCTGGGGCTCTGGGAGCCGCGCAGCTGCTGCGCCGGAGCCTGCCGACCCCTTCCTCACGCAATGATGCAGAGGCCAGGCTGGCAGCCTCAGAGGTGACACTGGGGGGGGGGGGCAGCAGCGAGGGGGGTCGGGCTGGTCCCAGCCTCCCTGTGGCCGCCGCTCCGGGGCCCCTGAGGGGACCCTTTCCCCACCCCCAGCCCTCACAGCCTCTGTCCCCCCGACGGCTCGGGGACGGGGGAGGGCTCGTCATCCCTCACCTCAGGGGTTCTCAGCCGGTGACTGTCCCCACCCCGACACTTGGGGGCGCTGTGAGGGGTAGGGGCCCGTCTTCGGCCCCCAGTGCCCAGAGTGGCCCCGACAACGGGCATCCAGCCGAGGGTCAGCGCCGCGCGGCCCCCTGTTCTGGGCTCGGGGCGCCCGCACGGCCGCGGCTCGGCAGCCGGGACCGACGGCCCCAGGGGCTCTCTGCTTTTTCTGTTGCTATTTTTCTCTTTTGTTGGAACTTTAAGCTTTGTGTGGGACGCAGCGGCACAACAGCAAACCCTCGAAGTGGCGAGGACTCCTCTGTTCTCTGTGTGCTCCCGCCGCCGCCCTCGCGGCGGGGCCGCCCGCGGATCCCTGGGGGCTCCCGGCGCCTGCGGCCGCTCCCCACTGACAGCCGCTGTCCCTGCCGCCGCCGGATGCTGCCCGCTGCTGGGCGTCGGTGACGAAGCTGCGCCGTGGCCTGCGGCGCCGAAACCGCTGGGGAGCTCGTCGTCCCACCTGTATTTACTGTCTGCACGTCTGTCTGTTGACCTTCCGGGACTCGGAATCGCCGCCGGACTTTGTCACCGAGGGGACAGTGTGAAAGGTGGTTTCGCGGGGCATTTTACGAGGAGTTTCCCAGCGATGCCCCCTGGTTCGTGGTCTTGAGGAAACGCCCACTGGGGGCGGGGCGCGCTGGGCCGGAAGCGCACGGCGGGGTCCGCGTCTCGCACGAAGAGCCGGAGAAGGGAGCCAGACGAGGTGGCCGGCCGTCCCGTGGCCCCGCGGCTGTGACGGGGCCCTGGGGGCAGCAGGGGCAGCGTTCCCAGGAGCACGGGCCGCCTCGCTGTGTGCGCAGAAGCCCCGCGGCCACCGGAGTCAGCACCGACGGCTCTGTCCGCCCTGTCCGAGCGGGGCCACGCCGGTGACAGGACGGGGCGGGGGAGGCCCGACTCACGCCCCAGCAGCACCAGGCGGCTGCCCCGGGGACCCTGGCTGCGGGCCGCCGGCTTCCTTTTCGCGACTGGCCCTGCCCATCACGGCGTGCGGGGCGGGGCAGGGCGAGGCATCCGGGGCCGGGGCTCGGAGAGGGGAGCCCCGTGTGCGCAAAGCGCAGGCGGCCTGCCTGCCGTCCCGAGGGGGACGGGAGCGGGGAGACGCCGCCGGGACGGAGGCCCTGCGCCCCGAAGCTGGGAGGCTGGGCATGAGGGCGCTGGCGCGGCAGGGGGCGCCCTCCAGGAAGCGCTCTTACGAGCCGTTTGTATTTGACCTTTCAAACAATAAAGCCGCAGTCCCGTTTTAATGTGACGTTATGCTTCCGTTTTAAAGTTTTACCTGTCGCGGGTTAAAAACGAGACTTCAGAAGGTAAACGTCCGACGTCACCAGGGCTCGAGAGTGTCCTGCCGCGCGGCCAGCAGTCGGAGGGGGCCCTGTCCTGCCAGGACCCCCTGGGCCCGCATCCCGCGCCCCCTTCGCTCCCCTGGGCGGCTCTCCTGGGCCCCTGCCGGCCCCCAGCTCCCTCCTGTCCCTCTGCTGCTCTTCCAAATGGCGTGGCCCCCACTTCGTGGGGGATGTGCCCCCAGCTGTGCCCCCATCAGGCCGGACTTTGCGGATGGTCTCAGAGGCGGAGGTGGCCCTGGCTCTCCCCACCTGTCCTGCGCTGTCCCTTCAGCTTCTGGACCTGCCTAGGCCACTCCCCTCGACAAGGAGGGGGACCGGGGACATGCCGCGGTCCCGGCCTCCGCGGCCTCTCGCTCCCCACAGACTGGCCGTGGTCCAAGGGCAGAGTGAGCCACGTGCCAGCAGCAGCTTCTCCCGTAAGAGAACTTCGTGGCTAGAACTTTCTAGAGACATAGAAAGAAAACACCTCAGAGCAGACCGTCTAGGGACAGGCAAGGACTCCAGACTGGCCTCCTGAGGACCCAAATCTACCTTCCCCTGCTCCCCGGGGCGGAGCCTGGCCCGAGCCCTAGCAGAGGCCGAGCTGTCCGTCCGCTTTGTCCTGAGGCGACAGGGTCGGTCTGTTGCAGTGTCTGGGCCTTGTCTGAGGCCAGAGTCTGCCGAGCCAGGCAGGAGCCACTCCCAGGTGGAGGGAGGTGCAGGCGTCACCTCACGGCCAGCAGAGCCGCCTGGAGGACCGGCCCCGCCCGCGACCACCCCGCGGGGAGACGTCCGGTCACGCCGCTCTGCAGGGACAGGCCCCCGTCCTGAGGGGCACAGCGAGCGCTGAGAGTGGGAACTGGGGTGTCCTCGGCTGGCGGACCAGTGGGAACCCCCAGAGAAGGGGCTGGGGGCCGGGGGGCCCGGGCGGGCAGGGCCCAGTGCACGAGGGCTCCCTCTCGGTGCAGAACCTGGGGGGTCAACACGCAGACTGGACAGAGTGGGGCTCCGCCCCCTGGGAAGCAGCCGCCCGTGGGCGGCCGGGTGCCGGCTCCCTGGCGTGAGGCGTGCGGCCCTCAGAGGGTCTGCGCTCCACGCCTTGTTCACAGGAAACAGCCCACAGGGTGGGGGACGCGCCCGGTGGCCTTTCCAGATTAATCAAATGCTTCAGACGCTGAGCCAAACGTTTTTTCTCTGTGAGTCAGCATGTG